GGGGGGTCCAGTTGTAATTTGACGGACGTAACGTATCTATTAAATGGTTAAGTGTTCAGTGTGATTTCCTAGTGACAGTGTTTTGATCTTTTTTTTGTTTGAATATCAAATCAGTCTTACAGAATTTATCATAATTTCACACAAAATGAGGTAGCCCACTGGCATTTGTTGTTCCCAATAACATGTATCACAACAATGTTGGTTATTGTTTTAATTTTTCCCAGAGTATCACATGGGCTCCAACTTTGCAGATTAGTATGAAATGTTTGTCCTCAGTTATTGGATTACTATGGCATTCAAGTTGGCACCATCATGAGGAAAAGATCTACACTGTCCAAAATTTACTTTGTGACTAATTACTACAAATCCACCAAATATTAGAACGCAACTATCCTACTGATGGTTTCCTTTGAGGCCTTGTCTCACTTTTTAATGCTGATAGCAAATGGGATGCTAACCATGTAATTATGAACGTTTCTGATAAATTTTATCTTTGCAGTTCGTAGACTAAGTGATTTGCAATAAATACATATATGATGGCTAAAAGTAATGCCATGACTTTTTCATGTCAGTATGCTGATGTTAGCATTAAGTTCCCAGCTGCTGTTAACATAGTTTTATTGGCCCATTTCCACTCTTAACCGTACACACTCTTCCTCCACCACATTAAGTGCTTTTCAGGCCAAATAGCCTCAAATCAAAGTGTGATATGAAGCACTCCAAGAGCAGGTCTGCACCAATGGAAACTTATCAACCAGGCTCAGTTAAGGAGTAGCGTTAATTGTCCAAACAAAATAGAAATTTTCTATAGGTTGGTAAATGGTTTTAAAAATTGCTTCATGCTTTATTCATTTTTAAATGTTTTTATTATGCTAATAATAAAGAACATGAAAGAAAAAAAAAGCTGCAGCATTAAAAAAAATATTGCCTGTCTGAATATAACTGGAACAGAATTTTTTCTTTTTTAGAATAGTTTAACATGATCTTAATTTTGCTGTATCCTAACTGGAGCTCCATTAGAGAAAGGTTGTGGGATCTTAAAACATGCTTCTATATTTCTGCCTTATCTCTTAATTCAGAGGACTCTTTAAAAGATGCAACTCCACATGGAATTACAATTATCATACAGTGGGAGGTTGTAGGGGAATTAAAATATCCTTAATTAAATATATTAAAATATTAAAATAATATGGTTTTAAATTTGCACGTTTTTTAATTAATTTTTTTTTTATTCGAATGACCCTACTGGTCTATAACCAAATAAACCAAACAAACCATATTTTGCTGCATGCCATAGCAACCTAATGACTGAGTAAAAGTGAAATTACCTAAACCAGAATATCACTAATGTTGTATTCCTGATTATAGACAGTTGTTTGTAGTCAGCTCCTGATACTCTGAGTTTCCACATTACATTTCCAGGTTTGCATGCCTGGGGCACTTCTGCTGCTTGATGGTTCATGAAATGGGAGGCTGTTCTGCAGTCTATAATCCCCCTCCTGTCAACCTATATCCTCATTCACAGCCTGTCAGGTGCATCAGTGTACATGAAGCACACTCAGAATGATGTTTTTCATTTACAGATAGCAACGTTTGTGTGTGTGTGTGCACATGGACCATTTACTGGTACAGTGAATATAAAGAGTGCCATGTCACAGCATGACATTTGATGATTTTTTTCATGTTGATAGGCAGCATTTTCACAGCATTTAAGAGGAATGAGAGGAATGTTGTTGCTGTAGTTTTGCTGTGAAAGCTGCTGAATTAGTGTCTTTGCTGGTGCTGCAGTATATTTCCAGTTGAATTCCATCAGTTTAACAGATAACTGCTCAGGGATAATAGGCGAATGACTGGTCTGTAAGGATCTGTTCTGTGTGTCAATACACAGCGCCAATACTGAATCTGACTTCTTTTGCTTGAACTGCTTTCAGTCTGCTGGCAACACAGTCAAGAATACATCAGCTTCTTGTGGTCAGTTTAGGCGCTCAAATCAAGCTAAGCCAATCGATGCAGTAACAATGTGGAATACTGCAAGGAATGCAAAAAAGTAGTTCACAGCAGGGCATTTACTGCATTTACTATGGTCTGCTGGTCATTCAGTCTTACACTGGCCAGATGCAAAAGTCTGGAGCATTGCTGGAGCATTACCTCTAATACATCTATTACACCAAATATCTGATCATGTGAAAAAACAAAACAATAAAAATGATCCTCATGTCTTTCCACATATTGAGGCAGAGTGCAGACCTGTTTGTGAGGATTTGTTGATGAGAATTTTTTTTAATGATGCCAGTTTGTCTTATCATCTCTCAGCATCAAACCCTTGACAGATCTGGAAATTTGGTGGAGCAGAAAATGGGGGATGTTAAGATTGATATATGATGGTCTTTAAAGATATTCAGATCTTTTAGATTTTAGCAGACTTATATATCCTGTAAATATCGTCCTGCAAAAATGGAAGCTCTGTTATGTATGTTTTTGAGGAAGAATAAGTGGGGAAATTATTGCTCTTTGTTTAATTAGCGAG